TTGGCCACTTCCTCCTCCTGAGGCTGACTACCAAGGTCCAGCCATCAAAGTACTGTCGTCCAGCAATCAAAAGACCCCTTTGCCTTACCCAATTAACAGGCCCAATTAAATTTAAAGACCTCATACTTGGGGTTTCCCCTTTTACCTTTATAAACTGCCTATGGGTCACCTCTGTCTCCTCTCTATTCAGAGGCAGTCCCCTGGGACAAATACTCCTGCCCCCTTTCTTGCTCCCTTCCCCTTCTCTGTCTTCCTCTATCTCCTGTCTTTGTTTTATTCTCTACCCTCTCTCTCTCTCTGGGGCAAATAAATATCCTTTGTTCTGAGAACTTGGTCTTGGGGGTCCTGAGCCAATACCGATCTCTTACAAATAAACATACATATTACCTAGGTACATATAAGCATACACAACTAACTGCACATGTGTGTACATCACAACATATTCAAACAAATGTATTCTACATGGAACATCACACACTGATCAACTGCAGATCTCAACTTGGTATTAGTTTTATCCAACTCATCTGGTGCTGGTAAAGAAATCAAGTCTCCATAAACTTAATGCTCTCTGCAAAGATGCACAATCCGCAGCCCCTTTCCAAGTACCACAACAGATTTGCTAAACACACACAACACTCCCAAAGACATGACAATGAACTGAACTGCAATCCAGAACATCTGAACCCACTTAAGAGGTCTCAAGCCCTGGTACAACCCAAAACATCCCTGATACCTGCCAAACAGCAGTGTTTGCCCTTCCCCTAAAAATGTCAGCCTGAGATGGCCAGTGCTGCATATGTCTCCTAAAGCAATCAGTGCCCGATTGTTCTGTAGCTGCCTAACTATGTCCACCAGGGCCTGCTGGTGACAATGACAAACATGAGTTGGCTCTGCCTTTCCAAGATCATGTGCGTCTCCTAACAGTGTGCACATTGAGCATGATCAAGAATGGAAAGCAACCGGTCCAGCCCGTGCCCTTGGACAACTCCAGCCCAAACCTTGGCCCTTTGTGGGGCCACAACATGAAAAGAGACAGTGAGATGCACTGGACAGGCACAGGGACTGCTGGTTTTCAGCAGCACAAGTTTACTTACTCCCCCGGGAGATAACTAATGCGCTGCCAGAGAGCACCTTGGACAAAATGTACTTGACCTGCCCTGACAAACCAGAACTCTCCAGTCGGATGACAGCTCAACATTCCACCTTCAGCCCAACTCATAGCACGTATCTTTTGGAGGAACAAAAGTAGACTGAAGGAAGACTTGAGAAGACAGGCAATTCTGGCAGCTGGGTGAGGGCACCGTAGGGCATGAAGCAGTTTTAACATCTAAATTAATTATTCTCTCAGAGGGATTCCCCAGGACCAGTCAAGTAATTATTCCGTGCCTTAGTTTCCTTATCTTCAAGGTAGAGAAGCCAACAAGCTAAATATGCCAACATGCTGGTTACTGAATGCTCACAGAAATGTAAAGCCTGCATATACTAACCAAAACAAACTAGTTTAGGACAAGAGATGGTAGCACACACTTTAAATCCCAGCACTCATGAGGTAGAGGCAGGAGGATCTGTCAGCCTGTTCTGCACAGCAAGTTCTAGGCTACCCAGTGTGTCATAGTGAGACCCCATCTCAAAATAAAAAAAAAATTTAAAAAAAAGTTTACTGTGATAATTAAGTAAAACAAACATCAATATGGTGCTTGTCATTCAAGTGTCAGTTCCTATAATCACTTCCTCAAAAAGAGCTTCCCTGAATCTCCATCAAAACTCAGTGTGTTCTCAGATCCTCAGGCCAACAAGATGGCTCAATGTGTAAATGCACTTGCCTGACAACCCGAGTTCCATCCCTAGAATGCAACTGTTTTATGACTTCCACATGTGAGTACATACCCTCAGCGCTCTCGCTCTCGCTCGCTCTCTCTCTTTCTCTCTCTCACACACACACACACACACACACACACACACACACACACACAAGACACTTTTTTTTAAAAGAGTCAATAAACGAGATCATGGGGTTGGGAAACTACTCAGCAGTTAAGAACATTTGCTGCTCTTGCAGAAGCCCCAAGTTTGGTTCCCAGCGTTCATGTGAGGCAACTTAAAACCACCTTTAACTACAAGTCCAAGTGTTGTTCAACAATGGATCAGGTTCCACCTGTAAAGAGAGGCTCCCCAACAGCAGTGCTGGGGCAACTGGACAGCCACACGAAAGAGCTAGCTGGTGCCCACACTTGACATAATAATAAATTACTGGCTTTTGTGGGAGGGAGGCATGCATATGCCGCACATGCGTGCAAAACCACCATACATGCAAAACCACCATACATGCAGAATTAAAGTAAACCTTTAAAAAAAATCAGAACTGTAATAACATATCATTCCACAAAAATGGCCCAGATTAAAAGGACACTGTACCAAGTTTGGCAAAGACATGAACAAGCTGTATGCATCTCTCACAGAGTATGGCTGGAAAGCAAACACTGAAAGCACTTTTGCAAACAGGCTGCAAGTGTCTGTAAATAGTAGTAAACTCGACAATTTGACTTGTAGATAGCTACTGAAGAGAGATGAAACCATGCTGATGCCTTTGCAAGAACAGTCAGAACATCACATGTGAGTGACAAATTCTGGAAACAGCCAAAGGTCCGTCAAAAGGGTAAATAAGGAAGCAGCCCTACAGTGGACCAACTACGCACAACTACGCTGCACAACTACGCAGTAACAAGCAATGCACTCTCAGACACACAATATGGGATGGGGCTCAGAATACATATGTTAGGCCAGGGTGTAGCAGCACTGTTAACAAGCCTGACAACCTGAGGTCAATCCCTAGAACCTGTGTGGTAAAGAGGGCCAATTTCCACATGTTGTCCTCTGACATACAAATGTATGCCACGGCATGGACTCACACACAATGAATAAATACATGCTAAGAAAGGAAGGAAGAGAGGAAGGAAGGAAGGCAGGAAGGAAGGACCGGGCTTTCAAAATAAAAAAATCAGGACTCTTCCTTCAAAAAGAGTCCATATTTGTCTAGTGGCATTAACATAAAATTCTAAGAAGTGGAAACTAATGATGTTGACAGAGCAGTGGTTGAAAGAGAACAAGAGGACTGGGAAGAGTGAGCAGAGGAAACCTCACCAGGAGTGGTGGATATGTTCATTATCTTTGACTGTGGTGATGGTCTCCCAAGGGTACACAGAAGTCAAGATTTATCAAATTGTACACTGAATTAGATGTAACTTAATAAAGCTGATTTTAAAACTAAATAAAACAAGCCCCTATAGTGAACCAGCGCGTAATGCCAGCACTTAGGAGGTTAAGGCAAAGAGAATATAAGCTGGAGGCTAACCCGGGCAACACAGTAAGAGACCCTGTCTTAGTCCATCAACCTCATTCCATAAAAATACACAATGGCCACTTTCTGTGCGTTGGGTTCCATAACGTGAGTCTTCAGGAAGCACTGCCTTCTCTGTAACAGGTGCACGAAGTACCAGGGCTGAAGAAAAGAGACAACTCTATTCTAAACTGTCATCCCAACCCCTTGCTGCTGAAGCTGTGCCCACACTGCCCTGCATCTCCATTAAGAAGCTAGACAAAGTAGGGTCCGTTACTCCTCAGCCAGCTCCCCACCCCAGTGCTGGCTTTTTGTCTCCTAAAACAGCAAATCCTCACTAGTCTGGCAAAGCAGACAAAAGGGACAAAGGGCTCAATGACTATTTGAAAGATTAAAGAATGGACAACTGTTTTATTTAAAAGCTCCCTGAAGAATTGGAACATTTGAGGCTATACACTGTTCTGTTGAAATGGAGTGAGGTATTACCCGGATCTGCAAGCACATGCCAAGAGACCTGTCCAAGTCACTCATTTCCTACAAGTTCTCAATTCCTTTGTTTTTCTTCATTTTTGGTTCCTGAACCATGAAGGAATACCACTCAGGTGTATTTCTGAGGAGTTAATATTTTGAAAGGACTCTTGTTCGAGTACATGCCAACAGCTTGAAACCATTTTTTCAAATGTCTCAGTTGATGGCCATAAAACTGAAGCGTCATGGAAAAGAATAGACAATGGGACGTGTGTGTGAGTGCTCTAGGAGAGGTACAAAACAGCACCATCCTTATTTAAAAACCAGAGGTCACACTAGTGTTTAGCAACAAAATTATAGCTTACAAATAATTAGCGACAGTTACAGAACAATAATGGCAGCATGGTAATTAACTTCGAGATTCTGTCTCCACCACTTAGAAGACTAACACGACAATGTACTTAATTCTGAAAACTCAATTTGCTCATCATGTTTAGCCGGGAGACCACCACTGACCTCATATTACAGCGGTACTAAAACGTGTTAAACTGGCTTCCAGTAAGAGCAAATTCAATGTCAGCAACTGTGTCTTGTTACCCTGAAGTTTCAAAGGAGCCCATTAACTCGCTAATCTTCCTCCTGACCTTAGCTTCAAACCGTGTCCTGTCAGGAGCACATTACTTGGGAGCCTCAATTTTCACACCCGTAAAACGGGAACGCACTCGGAGGGAAGAATTCCACGACTAGATAAGGTTCCCTTCCCTCCCACCTTTCAAAGCGAAGATCACAGCGGGGAGGGTACACTCCCAGCCGCTGCAGACAGCGTCAGTTTTCCCAATTCTGGCACTTGGGGGCGAGGACGCAGGCACCTGAAAGGGTCCTGCGTGAAGGCCCCGCGGTGGCCCAGGCGCCTCCCCGAGCGCGCGGGGTTATTTCGGAATCCCCGGGAGGCGACGCTCATGAGGCAATGGGTCAGGAATGCGGCGGCCAGTCGGGCCGCGGGTGTCTCCACGGGCGTCCCGGGCCGCGGGAGCAGGAACTCGGGGCGGCAGGAAATGAATGGGGGACCGGGGACGGGGCGGTGGGGCGGCGGGGCCGCCGGACAGACGGGGAGACTGGGGGTACTCCCAAGCGGCCGCGCAGTGCCGAGGCGGCAGGGACCCAGGCCGCGGCCGGGCCCCTGCGGGCGGCTCACCTCCGCGATGTCATGTTCCTCCCGCCTCCGGCTCCGCACGGACCCGCTGCTCGCTCAGGCTCCGCGGGGCGCCGTCACATGGGGGAGGCCGAGCGAGGCCCCACTCGGGAGCCGACACCAGTGCGGGCAGAGCCGGCCGGCCGCGCGCACAACCCTGGCCAGGCCTGGATCCCGGACACTGCGCGGCCGCCCCGCCGCCCGGCTCGCTCCGCCTTCTCCCCCGCCCCTTGCCAGCGGCGCCGGCGTGACGTCATCACGCGCGCTGCCGCCGCCGCCACCACCACTTCCTGCTTCCGCTTTGGCAGGCCCTGAGCAATGCACGGCGTCTTCCTCTTCTGAACCCGAATGGTCACACATCTGTGGACGTGGGAGATTCCTCTTCTAAACTGTGATGTGTGGGATGCCGCACATCTGTGCTAGTATACCGTACGCGCGTCCAGTGCCGGCGCAAACGTGAAAAGAAACAAACACATAAGCATGGATGGGGAGGCGGCTCTGGGGTCAGTAGCGATCGCTGCCCTTGAGGAGGACCCGAGTTCGGTTTCCAACATCTATATGGGGCGACCCAGAACCTCCTGTAACTTCAGCTCTAGGGGATCCGCCGTACTTAGCGGGCACTGCAGTCACGCGCACAAAGCCATACATAGAATGTAATGTTTTCTGATTTATTTTGCCGAAAAAGGTGGCCAAAGCCTTTAACCCAGCACTATGGAGGCAGAGGCAGGTGGCTCACTCTGAGTAGTTCGAGGCCAGCCAGGTCTGTATAGTGAGTTCCAGAGCAGCTGTGTAGAGAGACCCTGTCAAAAAAAAAAAAAAAAATAGTACTTCTTGATATTTTTAATCTTAGTGTGTTAGTGGTTAATGTGTTAGTGGCTTGCATGTAAGTATGTGCTCTGTGTGTGTGCCTAGTGCCCGCGTCAGAAGAGAGCAACAGCCCCTGGAACTGGAGTTACAGGCAGTTGTGAGCTTCCATGAGGGTGCTGGGAAGTGGGAACCACACTCAAGACCTCTGCAAAAATAGTGTTCTTAACTGAGCCATCTCTCCAGCCTCTCCTGTTAATTTTGTTTTGTTTGTTTTTAAGAAACAACCTATGCACAATGGCCATAGCTTTTACAGTTTGAAATAAAATTAGCGCAAACTTCTTCCTTTTTGCAGTTTCACCCGTATGGGATTAGCAATCCTGGCAAACAATTTTTTTTTTCTAATTTAAGGAATTTGACCTTTTCACTTAAAAGAAGGACTTCATAACTGCCTTTTCAAATGTCCAAATTGTTAGTAGCAGTACAACACAATATAGGAGGAGGGAGACTTTGTTAGATAAATGAGGTTTTCTTGAATAGCTGCATCTTAACGAAGGGTGAAAGTATAAAACTGAGTAATTAGAAGCTGAACAAATGGATAAGCAGACAAGAAAGCTAGCTGCTTCTGCAGAGGACCAGAATTCAATTCCTAGCACCCACTTGGCGGTTCACAGCTGTCTTAACTTTGGCTCCAAGGGATCAGACGCCCTCTTCTGGCCCAATGAGCACCTGCATGCACCTGCATGCATGAAACACACAAATAAAAATTAAAAAATAATCATTGATGAATTATTTCCGGAACTTTCAAATTAATAGCTTCAGAAGCAGTTGGCTGTGTATAACAGGGAAAACAAAACTGGAAAAATAGGAGGAGCTAACAGCATGATCTTTTTTTGTTATTTTATTTTTATTTTTTTGAGACAGGGTTTCTCTGAGTAGCCCTAGAACTCCCTCTGTAGACCAGGTTGACCTCAAACTCAGAGATTCACCTGCCTCCACCTCCTGAGTACTGGAATTAAAGGCATGTTCCACCATGCCTGTCTACAATCGTTTCTTTCATTTCACTTATTATTATTAACTAGGGGGATGGGCATCTGGGCATGTATGTGCCTCAGCATGTGTATGTGTAGCTCAGAGAACACTTTCCTGAGAGTCGATTCCAGAGATATAACTCAGATCAACAGTTCTGTGCTGAAAGCACCTTTATCTATTGAGCCATCTTGCTGCCCCTGTATGACCATTTTAAGTAGTAGTTAGCATAGGCTTCACTGAAATTCCAGTTGGACACTTGTCTGTAAAGGAACAATCTGCGGGGATAATTTAGAAGAAATCAATTCAAACAAAGACACAGGCTACTGTAAAAGAAACTTTTATTTTTCTGTTCCAATTGTCCTCTCGGAGGTTTATCACCTCTGTCTACTAACGTAGGCCTTGATGCTTCTAGCCTCCTTACAATCTAAGCTAGACGTAAAATGTTTTCAGCCTCTGTGGCTTACTGCTTGATAGGCTCACCCTCATTTTTACTGAGCTCTGGGCTGGCTAGTTCAACTCAGCTGTTCTGGCTCAAACTCCTCTCCCAGATGACTTATTCAATCTGGCTTCTCTCCCAGCCCATGAATTGCTCTGCTTGGCCTCAAACTAACTCCAGCAATCTGCTCTAATCTCCTGGATCCTCCTCATCCTCTGGCTCATTCTATCTTCACCTAAGTCTAGCTTGTTCTTTCTCTGCAACCTGTCTCTCTATTACTGTCCCAATAAAATTGCCTCCTCTCTCTCATGCTCTGTGATGCCCCCTTAAGTAGCTTCCCTTTCCTCTCTCTTCTCATAAGAGCTGGCGTATCTTATTCTGTCAAATCTTTCACTTTTTTCTGCCACTCAATTAGACAACACCTTCAAACATGGGTACTTCTTTCTACAAACTAACTGTACCTTTATTGCTTGGGATTAAAGGCATGTACCACCATGCCTGGACCTAAGCTTTTCTTTACCTGAAACTTGCTCTGAACCAGGCTGTCCTTGAACTCATACCTGCTTGCCTCTATCTCCTGGATTAAAAGCATGTTTGTATTTCAGCTGGATCACACAGACCTAGAAGGTATTTGGATGTGATCTTTTGCCAGAGCAACAATGTTCTGAATTAAAGTTCCTGTGCAGGCTACTGCAAAGATCCTGAGACAAAGGTTGTCTCCTGTACTTGGATACAATGGAAAGGTCTCTGTGTAAATGGAAAAGACAGTGAAGGAACCCAAGGAGCTGAGTTTAGGAAAAGGGAGAGCCACACATAGTAGCAAACACCTTTAATCCCAGCATTCAGGAGGCAGAGGCAGATAGATTTCTGAGAGTTCAAGGCCAGCCTGATCTATATAGTGAATTCCAGGACAGTCGGAGCTATGTAGAGAGACCCTGTCTCAAAAATAAAAAAAATAAAAATAAAAAGTGGGTGGAGGTAGATATTGAGGTAAGGTAGAGAGACTGAGAATATAGCCAATGGTAGAATATTTGCCTTCCATGTATGAGACCTTAAATCCAATATCCACTATTTTAAAATAAAGGGAATGCCCAGGCATGGCAGAAAAGCCTTTAATCCCAGCACTCAGGAAAGGAGGCAGAGGCAAGAGGATCTCTGTGAGTTCAAGGCCTGCTTGGTCTATCTAAAGAAAGAGTTCTAAGCAGCCAGTACTACATAGAAAGACCTTGTCTTAAAAGATAGAAAGAGCTCAGAGTGTTGGCACACACCTTTAATTCCAGAACTCAGAGGGCAGGAAGATCTCTGTGAGTTCAAGGCCAGCCTGGTCTACCAAGTGAGTCCAAGACAGCCAGAGCCTTTACACACAGAAACCCTGTCTGTATAGATAGATAGATAGATAGATAGATAGATAGATAGATAGATAGATAGATA